CACATACAGCAACTAGAAGGATGTGCAACTATGACATACAACTATCTACTGGGGCTTTGGGGGAAAAATAAATAAATAAATAAAATTATAAATATAATTCTATGTTGATGGCATTAGACAAGAGATTGTGGAGAAATACATTGTATTTTATGTAATTTGAAAATTACCTAATGATGACTAGAACATCTAATACAACTAACCAGTGGTTTATCTTAATTTTGTGGTATTTAGTTGTCTTTATTTTTGTACATTTTGAATTGATGAGTAGATATTCCTGAGAAAGTCTATTGATAATAAATAGCAAGTATATGTTCTAAGTTTATGCCCAAGAGAGATTCCCTCAGACTCTTTGAGGTATTTTGCTAATATACATTCATTTTAAATGTCTTATTGGTGCCATGGTATCATTTATCTTTGCTAAACTATAGCGATGTCTTCTCTGTTAATTCTTTCTTGTGGTGTTTTACCTTAGGGTTTTTTTTTGCCCTCAAGCTTCCTGTCCTTTCCAAAGCAGTCAAAATTGCTGACTTCAGAAACCAAGGAAGACAAGTATTTTGCAGAATTATTTAGTGGCAAGTAATCTTTACCTCTAAAATATAGTTTTTAGTTTTCAAAAGAAGATCATCGAAAGTATAACAAGTCACAGCATCTTAGAGCAACTGTTTCTAATTTGCATGTTACTTTCTTAAAATTTAGTGTATATGGTAACATTTATTCTTAAGGCAAATAAATATTAATTTATTATAATGTAACCTGTTTTGGAGGAAAGGCTTTAAACTTTTTGAGGATGTAAGTAAAAAGTAAGAAGACTCTCTAGGATCCTCTGATCTCGGCCCTCAAAGTTTCGGGGATCATAGATTCTCCCACTACAAGAGAACAACCATCTAGATTTAGGTCAAGCTCAATTTAAATCGTGCTTCTTATTCTCTCATGGAGACTGCAAGTTTGGATTCAGAATGGCCTTCTGAGGTATCTGAGACTGTCATCAACTACCTTATAAAATTAAAGTAAACAGAAAATTGTAAAAGTTAAGATATTTTAAAATAAATTAAAATTAAATTATGGGCAATTTTATTGTTGTTCAGGTTTTTCCTTCTACTGTTCTTTTTGTGTGGAAAATTCTTTGCTATATTTTTTATTCATTCATTTCTTTATTCATTTTCCCCCTATATAGCTACTTTTGTTCTAGTTCTAAGTCATGTGCATTGAGTTTTATCTCCAGAGAAATGCACAAGGGCACTGAATGGGGCAGCATTTCTCAGTTCATTTTGTTAGGCACTTCCTGTTTCACTACCTTTTTAATCCCTGCCCACTCCCCCCTCCGGAAATGCAGAATCCAGCATTTTTCTGAAATTTTTTTCTTCCCTCCTTCAAAACAAATGCACTAATACAATGTTTGAATAATACAAGCTCTGTCTTGACTACTTCCTCCAGGCAGATTTTTCAAACGAGGAAGTTACCAGCATTCTTTTTAACTGGAGGCATTCTTAAGGTGCAAGATGTTTAAAGGTCTGTGTCTTTCAAAAAATCTGCACAGTGTAAAGATGGCAAGACATCTTGAGGACTAAAAAGGATATTGATTTGGTCCCCTCCGACCAAGCCCATCTAGTTATTATAGATTTTTATAAATTTGTTTTATTTACCCCATTAATTCTCTTTAGTTTTATATGGTCTTACTAGCAGATTAGAAGTTCAGGGGAAAAGAAGGATGAATAACCCATATTTGACTACCTTTTGCCCCCCTGTTAATGCATGACCCCTGCAAAGCCTCCTCCTTAATTATATATATTTTAGGGAGTCCACAGGAGTTGTCACATGTGTTCATAAACAAGTCCAATCATTTACTAATGGCCATTGGCCATTTTCTTCTCATTTGCCTCACCCACTACTTGCTAGGCCTGCTCCATCTACTGATTATTGCTGCTGTTTCTCCAGGTGGTATAGATTACTCCTTGGCCACCATGTCTACTTTTGCCCCATTTTGTCTGAATACCACCACTCTCGTTGAGTATATTTATCCAAAGGGCTACCAGTCCTGCTTACTTTCTGCTGGGTACCACCCCCTATGGTTACTTCACCACCCTTATACCAGATGTTCTCTGTGGGGCCACAAAGGGGTCCTTTATAAAGTAGAATCTCTCTCTCTCCCTTTTGTCCTGTACTTTTTAGTGGGAAACTAGAACAGTGTTATTTGTATATCAGAGCATTTTGAGAAATAGCTTGTACATTTTTCTCAATCCTCCCTCCCGCCATTGGAACCAGATGTGAATCCTTGGGTGCTGAGCTGGAAGACAAGTCCAGATCATAGACTCTACACTGTACTGTTCTCAGAATTTCCCCTTATGTCCAAATGCAAAGGATCAAGGGCTTTGATTCACAGACCTCATTTTGCTTATTTTCCCCCAAACTCTGTAATTTCTGAGTAGTTTAGGACTTTCAAATTTAGTAAGATATGGGCAGTGGACCTATTGGTCTTCATGTTAAAAGCATTCCTGTCTCTTAGAAACAGCCAATGTGGATTACAAAGAAAACTATACTCCACTCTCCATTTCTGTTTTCCGGGGAAAGTTTTGAGAAATTCTTTATTAGTGAATTGACTTAAACTGAAAAACAGAATTTCAAGTGCAGTCTTCTTTTGATATATATATATATATGTAAAGATGTGGTTCTTTTGGTATCAGCTATAAAATCTTATCTATATTTACTTTGCCTGATAAAACGTTTTTATGTAGCTGCTGACAGCTAACCTTCAGCCTTGTCTTTGCCCAAATTGTCATAATTTTAATATTGGTATCTGAGTAAACACTAAATGGAGGAATGTGAGTTTTTACTTTCTAGTATAGTCTAGAAGTTGTGACTTTTGATTCTCAATATCAGAGAAAGTATGCACCTGTTTCATCACATCTTTTCTTGCCTATTCCCAGTGAAATATTAATCTATTTGCATGTCCTAATTCAAATAGTTCCTCTTGTATAGTAACTTCTCCACATACAGATGTTTTTCCTTCATAAAACCCCTATTGTATGTAGTACTTATTCTTTCATTTCACCTTGTAAAATTACTGTATAAATTGAGAGACCATATTTAATACTTCTTTTGTTTTTTCCATATAAATTTGCATGGTGCTAGACATATTGAGTAATAGTAGCAGCAGCAACAACAATGGCAATAATAAGGTAATTGAATAAAGGCATCCTCAAAACAGTCCTGAGGTGGGTACTTTATTATACCCATTTTATACCTGGGGGAACTTAGAGAAGTTAAGTAATTTGTCCAAGTTAGCTAGTAAGCTGAGAAGTTAAAATAAGAAACCAGGCAGTTAAGAGTCTAGAATTCACACATTAAGCTTAATAAATGCAAAATAAATATATATTTAATTTATTAACTGATTCTTTAAACAAACATTCCAGACTTCATCCATCCAAATGAGAAGGGTGCAGTTTGCATATTCTAATGCAGTAAGTATTTTAGTTTTAAAAAAAGAATAACTATAAAGTAATAATTCTGAAGTAAGCCTCATAAAACTAACTGAAAGCAAATTCCAAAGAACATGGCTTTAGAAATATTTTGAGTAATGGCAGCCTCACTAGAGTCCCTCCCAAGATGACAACTCTGAAAGATAATACTCAATTGAATTGAAAAATTCATAATTAGCTTAATATCCCTTTTTCTATGCTGCCTGCTAATAAGGAACTGTGTCCTCTTTTCGTAGTGATGGAGTCCACAAGCTCTCCTACCCGATACTGTATACAGTGGCAGCCAGCTTCTGGTTAGAGCAGGGCAGAGCTGGGAATTGAAGGATCCTTTGTTTCATCTCTAACCTTTTAAGGCACTTTAGTGCAAGGAAGAAAGTGAATTCAGATTAATCCAAAATTTACTATTATTATTATAGCCTGTTTTCTTGCTACCCTTTTCAACTTCATTTTTCTATCACTTTCCACCAAGCATCACAGTCAGCCGCCATCCCTGGGACATGCCATCCTTTTACTCAAACTACTGCATACTCTCTCTGACACCTATGTATAGCCCAGAACAGTAGAACGCTATGGTTGTGAGCACAGACCCTGGAGCCAGTGTGCTTACATTCAAAGCCTGCCTCCCCTACCTGCTGGCTATCTGACCTCTCTGTGCTTCAGTTTCCTCATTATAGAAGTAATGATGGTACTATTTCAAAGAGTGGCTATGAGGATTAAATGAGTTAATGCATATAAAATGTTTAGAACAATGCTTGTCACAAGGTAATATTGAGTATTATCTGCTGTTATCACTATTATCGTTTTCATCATCATCATTCAGCTAGTGAAATCTTCTGCTTCTTTGAGGTCCTGCTAACATTTCACAACTTCTCTGTAGCTTTCTCAGAGCCTTGCTGTTTGAGGCAGGCTCGGGCCCTTCTTTTATGCTGCCACATTGTTCACTTTGCCATTTCAGTAATTAGCATACTGTGACTTGTCAGTTGAACATGCATCTGTTTCTTGATGATTGTAAGTACATTGAGGTCAAATGTAAAGGTGAAGGAAGGAACAAAGAAGTTTGTACTAAGTCTAAAATTATTTTGGATTATCACCTACATGAATAGTATAGGAAATATTTTCAGTCACTCCTAATGTTAAAGAAGCTGAGGGTTTTTCCTCTATCTAAAAGATGTCTTAAAATATGTTTCAAGCTTCTTTTGTTATTCAGAAGTTTATTGGAAAGAACAATTCTTTTATGATCTCTATAAAGAAAATGTCAATAGTTTACTTTACGTATTGCTAATATATAGTAAAATATACATATAGTATAGTACTATCTATATTTCCAAGCAAACATTTGAAAGCTATATGAATTCCTTTCAAATGTTTGTAAACTGTTGATTTTTTTTCTGATTCAGATTGGTCTTCTCTCAATCAGTCCAAATTGATGAGGTTCTACTTGATAAAAAAATATCAGTAATATCCATTACTAGCCCGTGCTATTAAAACTGAGAGGAAATACAGGATGTACATTTTTGTTATCTTGGTTTTTTTTTTCAATGCAAGTTAGAGTAGAATATCTGGATCTGTCATGACATGCAGATTAACAAACTAATGCGAATGCTAATGTGGTTTCACACAGTTTGCTTCTAAGTAAATGGGTTTCTTATAATAGTAACTATATACCATTTACCCTGCAAATTCCACTTTAATTAGCCTGTTTGTATGCGGGAGATTGTAAATATTTGCTTAGTATATTAAAAATATACCACAAAATTTGTTTGTACTTAATAATTACCTAACAGATGTTTGTTTTCGTTAAAAATGTTTTTTAAAATGCTTAAATACTAAATAATTTTAAATATACTCAGAGCATTAAAAGCCGAAAATATGTTATTGAAAACCCAAATATGTATATTCTTCTTACCACCTTTCCCAATGTGATGACATACCAAATCTAGGAAAAGAAGTGTATTTTTCCTTTTTCTAGAGTTTATTTCTGGATGGTTAACCAAAGATACATTAAAGTGTGTTTATTCTAATGAACCATATCTCAAATATCAGTAGTGACAGATGATTCTTTCTATTATTTCTAAGGGATCTTGGTTTTATTGACAATAGAAGATAATTAATTGGCACCTTTTTTTAATTATTTTTTAAACAGGACAGAGATTTTTTTCTGCCGTCAGATGTCTTTCTGCTTGACTGAACTGCACCTGTGGTCTTTGAAGAATACCTTACACATTGGGGGTAAATGAGCTCTGGATTAATTTCAATGTTTTTCAAATATAAGTTACAACATTATAAATAAGTACTAGCAAAAGTTAGAGCCTGGATTCTCCAACTGGAGTTGCATTATTTTCTTTATACTTAATGAAAAATTGGCTAATAAAAAATAATTCCTTTTAGCTACTCTGATTAACTTACTTTTTTCAGCTTGAGTTAGAGTTTCTGTTGTGAACATTAATTTTATTGGCATAATATTTGTTTCTTCTTAAGATACATACATGTTCAGTTTTTTCCTAAGATTGTTCATAACTGATTTATATTTATAAATATTTGCAGGCTAGCTAATGGTAAAGGCATTTCTATTTGATATTAAAATGATATTTGAAACATACAGCTAAGATGTACAATTAATTACATTCATGTTCTTTGCATTTCACATTTTGTGGAAAGCAGAGTAATGTAAGTGTGTTTTAACAATGCTTATTAGTATTATAGGATAAAGTATATCATTAGGAAACATCTTTTAAAAAATCTTTTCCTTTTTGATTATCCAAAGCAACTCTTGCATTTAGGAGACGTTTTATTTATATGCCTTTAGCATCATTACTAACAAAATTGTTTACCTTGCAAAATATTGTTTCTTTATATCAAATACATAATTACAGATGAATGTTATAATTTCATTAAATTTACCTTGCTTAAAATGTGTAAGGATAGAACTTCCAGTTAAACACATTTTCTTCCTCCCCAAATTCTTCTAAAACGAGAGTAAATGAATTAAAATAAAGGCGGCATAAACCCACAAGGACTAGGAGAATAGGAGAAGAGACAATTACAGTTTGACAATTTTTGGAAGATAGAAAGGATGCAGGAATTAGCAAAGCTTAAAAATCTGAATGTCAAGTGTCTACAGAGGAGAATTCCAATGACAGCCAATTTGTGTCTCAAAACTGTAGAAAGATAAAGAAATTTGAGGAACCAGATACTGCAGAAGAAGGGGATGAGACATGAAAGTGATAACAAAGAGACTTGAAAGTCTGCTTAAGTAGTGAGACACCTCTCATACTGTGGAAATATTTAATTAGGGAGGCTCTAAACTTGGACATCAGCCCTAGTGGAAGAAGACAGGAGAGAGGTGCTGAACTGAAAACAGATGGAGTGAAAGCCTAAACTGATGGGTGACGTCCTCCTAATCCCACTTGGTTCTGAGAATGACGCAGCCAGTTGTACACTTTCCAAGAAAGAAGGGCTTGAGGGAGTCCTCTCTGAGTGACTGCATGGCCCCAGAGAGACCTTTCTACATTGACATTTGAGGGAATCCTCTAGTGAAACACCTTGTCCCTGGCTGATCACCACTTGGCAAGCCCTATTCATGTACACAGAGATGCTTCTAATCAGCTTTCTCGTGCTTACTTTTAAATATGAACAACAAGAAACAAAATACAGAAGCTTCAGGAAACACTGGAAAGTTATACTAATCTCTAGGAAATTAAAAATATGTAGCAGAAAAAATTTTAAAATCAAAGGAGTGAAAGAAATTCTCTCAGAAAATAGGAAAAAAAATACAAAAAAAGAGGGATTATTTCATTGCTTGTGAAAGTATAAATTGGTCCAACCACTTTAGGAAACAATTTGGTATTATCTAGTATAGTTGAAGATGTATGTCACCTATTGACCAATAATTCGACTCTATTAGGTATATAGCCTTACGAAAGCCCTGACACTTGTGCATCAGGAGACATGTACAAAAGTGTTTATAATAGTACCATTTGTAACGCAGAAAACTAGAAATAACCCAAATGTCAATCAGCAGGAGAATGGGTAAATTTATGCAACAGAGAAAGTGAATAATTATAGCTACATGCAACAGCATAGATGAATGTCAGGAACGTAATATTGTGCAAAAAAATAAAAAAGTAAGTTGCAGAAGAGTACATACAGTATGATTGTATTTAGAAGTTCAAAAACAACAGGCAAAATTAAATAATGTATTGTTTCAGGAGACAAGCATATGTGATAATACTATAAGAAAAATTAGGATTAAAAACACAAAATTTTATTATAGCTCTGAGAGGGGAAGAAGTAGAATGGAAATAGGAAAGGGCTCACAAGAGTCTTAAAAGGAATGTTTTTTTTCTTAGATTTGCTGGGTTTTGTATGTTTTTAATCTTATATTCTTTTGTATTTTATTTTTTAACAGTACATATAGTCTTTTGTATTTAATTATACAATCGATTTAATTAAATTAAATTGATTAAATTAAATAATTAAAATGATTTTAAAAAACTTCAACAGTATTTTTAGTATAACACTATTATTTAATAATAAATATACATACAGAAAAAACTCTTAAGAAGAGACAACAAAATGTTATTAGTAGCTGTCTCTGAAGAATGGAAATATGGGACATTTAACTTTTTTGCTTTTCTTATTTTCCAAATTTTATACAATGAACATATATTATTTTTATAATCAAGAAAACATAATTATGTTGAAATATACATACAAATGAAATGAATGCTGTGACAAAAGACAAGGATAATAAATAGGAAAGATAAGAATATTAGAGTTTTGGGGCTGGCCGGATGGCACAAGTGGTTAAGTGGGCACGCTCCGCTGTGGCGGCCCGGGGTTTGCCGGTTCAGATCCCAGGCACGCACCAGTGCACTGCTTGTCAAACCATGCTGTGGCGGCATCCCATAAATAGTGGAGGAAGATGGGCATGGATGTTAGCCCAGGGCCAGTCTTCCTCAGCAAAAAGAGGAGGATTGGCAGATGTTAGCTCAGGGCCGATCTTCCTCACACACACGAAAAAAAGAATATTAGAGTCTCAACCTAGGAACTCTACATTCAACTAATAATTTCAGGAAAAGTAGCAAAGAGGAAGGGAGGAAATTATCAAAGAAATATTTTTAAAAATTTTCCTAGAACTAAGAAAGTGAGTGCGTAGATGGAAAGGACCCATAAGTACCCTACACAGTGAATGAAAGACCTGTATCAAGGCACATCATTGTATAATTTCAGAACACTGAGGATAAAGAAAAAATCCAGAGACCTTATAGCAAAAAAGAAAAAACAGGTCACATACAAAGGGTTGGAATTCAGATTGTCCTTGGCCATTTTAACACCAGTAGTGGAAGCTCTGAGACAATGGAACCATGTCTTCAAAATTCAGAGGAAAATTATTTCCAACTTAGTATTCTCTTCCCAGCCAGCTAGTCAATCAATTGCAAGAAGAAAATACATTTTCAGCTGTGTAAATTCTCACCAAATTTACCATTCTTTTCTCAGTCAGCTACCAGAGCATTATTTGTCCTGCCAAACAAGGGACTTAAACTAAGACAGAGGAAGATACCCCTCTCCAGTCAGGAGAAGATAGAGAGGATGCACAGGACAGTGTCTGGGCATCAGACCTAGAAGTTAGCCAATCCAGACTGGATCGGGATCGGGAGTTCCCATGAGGGATATTGCCAATAAAAAAATTTTACTGATTGGTCACCTGATATTGGAGATTAATTAGTGTTATATATTTTTTTAAGCAAATAAAAAACAAGGAAATTTTTAACTTTAGGGAAGTTGTATAAGAAAGGAAATGCAATCACAGTGTCCCCCATGGTTGGGTTGTGAATAATACTTATATATTCATAACTTTGTAAGCACCGACAACCAAAAATTGTGCTTTAATTATGTTGGGAGGTTGGGAAAGAGTGTCTGGAGATGGGGAGGGGCACACAGCAGTAAAAGATAACTGAATTCTCAATTTCTGTGGTGGATAGGCAATAGATAATATCTAAAACTGAAGAATCAAGAAATAATAGGACTAGCAATAGGACTAGGGACATATTTATAAATATGGAGGTATATATAAGAAATAGCTAAGGATTGAAAATAATAATCTCTAGGGACAGGTAATGAGGGCTAGAAGATATACAGTATGGCACTGTTGCTTATGTTGAAAGCCTTTAAAAACCTGAATTTTTAAAGCCTTGCAGATGTTTGAATTAGATATTTAAAAAAGAAAGATTGAAAACCAAAAGTAACAATCCTTTTATACCCCCAAATACATTGGTAACATCATAATTAGTGATATTCTTCTAGAAAGCTCAAATCGGTGTCAATGCAAATATTCTTTAAAAAGAAGTGTGAAGATACATTCGATCACCTACAGATAGGTATAATTTTCTTAAAGAAGGAAAAAGTGGGATTTGAAGCGATTAAGGTCCTTATTTGTGTTATATTTTGTTTCTGTTTCTTGCACTAAAAAAACAACAGTGATTCAGTGATTAATGCCTTAGTCAATATACATTTCTGAAAATTTAAATCTTAATGAAAATGTGCTATTAGCTATTTTGACATTCTCCAGAAACAATGATTTATAGAGTGAAATATTTTATTGTTAATTACTGGTATTTATTCTTATTAATGAAGCCACCAGAATTGTTTTATGGTTGGAATCTTAAATTGAAGTATTTTCTTCTCTGATCATAATTGCCTGTTTTGTCATCTCTCTTATTCCCTTCTCTCATATATCTAGGTTTTATGCTTCTTTGAGATCATCAATCGCTTAATCCCTTCCTTTTCTTCTAGCCCATTATTCCCCTCTTCATTTATCTTCCTACCCAGCGTGGACCGCATGGTTAGAAAAATGATCAATTCTATCTTGATTCCCTTATACCCCTAGTCTTCTGTTACATACCTAGGAAATTCCTTGTCTACCACTCCATCTGTCCTGAAGTCCTCTGTCCCTGCTCCTCCTATTCAGAGACAGTGAGTGGTTTTTAGAGAAGAATCCCATAGTGGTGCACAATGGCCCCAGTGGGCAGTAAGGTCTTTAGCCCTAAATGGATCTTCAGCAGAGCCTTTACATTCTCTGCTGGGAACGTTCTTCTCTTTGAACTCATATGAAATCCTACCTCTTCTTTAGGGCTCAGCTTTAATAAGTCACCTAGAGAAGCCTTCTCTGCCCTCTAGACTAAGTTAGTAACCCTGATACATGCTCTCATTATGCTTGACATTTAAAGTATTATTTTAAATTGAGGCGTAATTGACATATTATATTAGTTTCAGGTCTACAGCATAATGATTCAATAAGTCTAGTTAACATCCATCACCATACAATAGTTACAAATTTTTTTTTCTTGTGATGAGAACTTTTTAGATTTACTCTCTTAGCAACTTTCAAACATGCAATACAGTATTGTTAACTCTAGTCACCATGCTGTACATTATATCTTCATGACTTATTTATTTTATAACTGGAAGTTTGTACCTTTTGACCCCCTTCACCCATTTCACCTACCCCCCTTGCCTCTGGCAACCACCACTCTGTTCTCTGTATTTATGAGCTTGTTTTTTTTATTGTTGTTTTTTTAATATTCCACATATAAGTGAGATTATACAATATTTATCTTTCTCTTTCTGACTTATTTCACTCAGCATAATGCCCTCAAGGTCCATCCATGTTGTCGCAAATGGCAAGATTTCCTTCTTTCCTATGGCTGAATATTCCGTTGTTTATATATATCACATCTTCCTTATCCATTCATCCATCGATGGACAGTTAAGTTGTTTCCATATCTTGGCTATTGTGAATAATGCAGTGAACATGGGGTTGCATATATCTTTTCAAGTTAGTGTTTTCATTTTCTTTAGGTAAATACCCACAAGTGGAATTGCTGGATCATGTAGTAGTTCTATTTTTAATTTTTTGAGGAACCTCTCATAGTGGCTGTACCAATTTACAGTCCCACCAATAGTGTACAAGGGTTCCCTTTTCTCCACATCGTTACCAGCACTTGTTATTTCTTGTCTTTGATAATAGCTGTTCTAATTTGAAATAATCACAAACTTATAGAAAACCTGTCAGTACAGAGAATTTTTTTTCTTGAATGATTGAAGAGTAAGTTGCAGACCTCATGCCTCACCATCTCCAAATACATTAGTGTGTATTTCCTGTAGAAAGGATGTTGTCCCACGTTTCTACTATATAACCATCAAAATCAGGAAATTAACAATGATAATAGTACTACCATCTAGTACTCAGTTTCACCAATTGTCCCACAAATGTCCTTTTTTAGCAAAGAGATCTTGTTCAGGATCATATGTTGCATTTATTCTTCATGTCTCTTTAGTCTCTTTCATTCTGAAACAAATCCTCATCCTTTTAATTTTAATTTTTTTTTTTAACTTTTGTGACCTTAACACTTTTGAATATTTTATGCCAGTTATTTTATAGAATGTCCCTACATTTGGATATGTTTGAAGTTTCCTCACAATTAGGTTCACATTATGCATTTTTTGGTGGGAATATCCCAGAAGTGATGCTGTGTTCTCACAGCATCCTATCAGTTGGTACACAATTTCAATTTGTGCCTTTACTGATGATGTTCATGATTACTTGACTAAGGTGGTGTTGGCTAGGCTTCTCCTCTGCAAAGTTGCTTTCTCCTTTGGAATTAATTAGTATTTTGTAGAGAGGGACCTTGAAATTATGTAAATATCCTGTTCCTCATTAAACTTTAAATATATTTATTATTTATTTTATCACTATAGACTCAGGTTCCCTATTTTATTCAATGATTTTAATCCATTACTATCATGATCAATTTTGGTGTTTAAATTGTCCCCGATGTGGCCAGTGGGACCCCTTTTGAGCTGGCTTCTGTGTCTTTGTGTTGTGTCTCCATCAGTATTTGAGCATTTCCATTCTTTCTAGCACAACAACAGATCTTCCAGGCTCTTATTAACTTTCCCTTTCCTAGCCCTGCAATCAGCCACTTCTCTAAAGAGCTTGGTTCCTTTTAGAGGAGAACGGTATCTAAAAGCCAAGATGTGCTTTAGGTGCGCTCATTGCTATTGGAGTATCATTGCTCCCAGGCCTTCTCAGTGGGCAGAGCTTAGGTGATGTATGTATATAGCCACATTCGTTTCTGTATCTATCTCTATATATTGAAAACCATGAGTTCACACTGGTACCTTCAATTCTAATCTACCACCACAGGGTTCATTCTAATTTTCTCCCTTTCTATATTTGTACTTCTATTCTCAGACAGTGGGGGAGCTGGGGCTCCCATATCTTTGATTTATTTACTTACTTAATCAATCACCCTGTATATCATCAGTCTCCTGTCTTTGTGTCCACTCCCTCCCCTGTGTGGATGCCTTTCTCACCCCATAAGAGTGTAAGTTCTAACATACCACATTAGGCTGCCTCCATATGTGGATGTCCTCCTCACCATGTTCAGCCTCTAACACCCCACACCAGGCCATTGCCCTGTGTGAATGTCCTTCTCACCCTGCTAGGGTTCTGACACACCATGTCAGGCCGACTGTCTGCATGGACACCTTCCTCATTCACCTTAGGGTCTGACACCCACATTGGATAGGTCTCCTTATGTAGATGCGCTTCTTGTCCTGCTTGGGTTTTGACAGCCCCAGTCTGGGCCAGATGCAGTAAGTCAGACTTGTGCACAGAATTTAGGGCCCCTTATGATCTTCATAATTCTATTCTAGAGTTGTAAATATTTGGTTGCATAGAATGATGGAATATTATAATAGAGGGTATTGCCTGTGTGCATAATGCCTATGGTTCTTGGATTTTAAAAACAGCCTTTTTTTTGAAGTGTAACATATGTATTGAAGAGTATAAAGATTATAAGGATATGTTTGGAACTATCAAAAAGTGAACACACCCATAAAATCATCACCCAAGTCAAGAAATAAAATGTCAGTACCCTAGGACCTTTCTCAGTCACTCCTTATCAGATATTTTCAATCTAACCAATAGAAATAAACTGCATTCTTTAAAATTACATGTACCAATTAATGGCATGATGAATAAAATAGAGCTTCAATAAGTACATGATTGACTATTTTTAAAAAATATATTTGAGGGGCTGGCCCGGTGGCATAGTGGTTAAGTTCGCGAGCTCTGCTTCAGTGGCCTGGGGTTTGCAGGTTCAGATCCCGAGTGCAGACCTATGCACCACTTATCAAGCCATGATGTGGCAGGCGTCCCACATATAAAGTAGAGGAAGATGGGCATGGATATTAGCCCAGGGCCATTCTTCCTTGGCAAAAAGAGGAGGATTGGTAACAGATGTTAGCTCAGGGCTAATCTTCCTCACCAAAAAAAAAAAAATATATATATATATATATTTGAAAAGTTAGTTACAGCTGTAATACTTTTTTTAAGGTTTCATCATTCAGTTTGAGAAAGTTTGGAGCCGTCAGTCACTAGGGGGCAGCCTGTACTGCTTCCACTTCTTTAGAAACAGTTGTATCCTTTTGTTAGTAACTAGAATTATTTTGCATAGAAAGAAACAAATGTTACTTCAAAGAAAGAAATATTTCACTATTCACAGATAGGAAGAAAATGGACGCAATTATTTTTGTTTTCCTGTAATTAAATTGCAAGAACAGATTCCTTGGTTAAATGACTCAACGTGTAGGAAGCCTGGCTTTGCTTTTGTAGCCCCAGCAGAATATCAAACTTTGAGTGGGTTTGGAAGGTTTTTTGGGTCTAAACAAGCTTCAGATAATTTATCCATACCTTCCTCTAATCCTGTCTTTCTTTCCTGCACATTTTCCCCAAACAGCATACTAGATTTGAACTAAGTCAGAGAAAAGAAAGCCACAGCTCAGAATCCAACAGTTTGGACATTTTCTTCCATCCACTGCTTTCATTTGGCCTTCTTAGTGACGGTTCCTTTTGGTAGCGCCCTGTGAAAAATATCAGAGGAAGTGTGAAAGAGAAAAGTTGGTTTTCCTTGATTTTAGTTCTTTACTACTACTTTTCTTGTGCCATTCTAATTTTTTGTAAATCTTTTCTAATTAGATTGATAAACTGTTCAGTTCCTGCATATCCCTAGAATAGATGAACCTATCTATGTCCAGATACTTTTGAACTATTTTATTTCTAGTAACATAAAGAGATTGTTTCTGTCCTCCTCCCTGCCTTTCCCTCCCACCCCTACTCCCCACCATATAGTATGGTTTGGCTTCTTAGTCTCTAGAACTTTTTATCATAATCTAATGTTATTTCTTCCTTTCTATAGATAGAGACATTGGGATCTATCAGTATTATGACAAGAGAGATCCACCCGGTAAAGTATCTATTCTATTCAATTAATTTTTATAAACCAAATATTCTAAACTATAAAATACTGACCATTAAAAACTCTTGTTTTATGAGCTTTAAATAAATTCTAGAATTTAAAGAAAAGTCACTTCAATTCTTTAGAAAAATGCTAAGGTTGATATCTATTCTATATAAAATAAAGCCATATTGAGAAAATGCTGTAGAAGAACATGAAAATTTTCATTTTACTGCTGATCAGACTGATGACTGGACAGCCTATTCACATTTATTTATCAGTGTCCCAGTAGAGGGCATTGTTAATGCATGAGTTCCACAGATGCTGGCCTCCTGGATCCTCACCTGATATCTGAAATAGGCATTTCTGAGTGAATGATCAATTTTCTTTATCTGATTAATCCTGTTAATCCCAGAAGTTTCATGATGGGCCAAAAGGTCTTTCTAGCTAGAGTTACTTCCTGTTTTGGTCTCTGTTGAAGTGGGGCTTGTGTGGGCATCCTGTGTGCTTAGCTTAGTGGTTAATAGGCTGACTTCATGGTTCTGATGACAGACTGAAGCAGCTTCTGTTCTGGGCTCCATTGCAGTTCCCTTCCCTATCTGATGAGATTGCAAGTTTAGGATATTGGCTCACCTGTTGTGCTATGGAAGCCTTTTCACTGAAAATACCTCTATGAAATGAAAACACCCAAATTATGGCATTTTTTTCAACTGCCTTTTTAAAAGTTTAGCATAATTTATTAATCTCAGTAACGTGTAATAATACATTATATATGTGTATTAAAAATACAAAATATTGTAATAAAAGTAATTTCCACTTTTTTTTTTTCCCATCTCTCCTCTCCCACATTATTAGCGACAGACCACGGTAACTTAGAAGAAAAGCAGAAGCTGGCAGAATGTAAGCTTACTATATAGTTTTTTGGAATTATTATAAAACTGGAATTTAAATGTCACTGAAGATTCAGTCTTAAAAAAATATTTTAAGCTTTCTGCACAAATAGGAAATGTTTTTCCTTCAAAATTTCTTATAATTATAAATTTGCGTTGTTTAGGTACATAAGCATGTGATAAGAATCATATTTGTTAGGCATTTTTAATTCAGACCATTAAAATCTCTATTCAGTTTTGGTAAGGTATATGCTTATGTAAACATAAACTTTCTTAATGAACCATATTTATATTATTTAATATATTTAAAATGTGTACCATGCTTAAATTCTGATAACATTTTATTATTCATGCAATGCCTAAATTATTCATATGTTTTGCCCATTTTAAGAAAATAAGATTTGTAATCAGTATTAACGTTTTATTCTCTGTAGTCTTTTCTGTCCTCAAATATATAAATATGTTATATATGTAATATGGCTACAATGTAATATGGTTTTAATGACTTAAAATTAAATATAATTTGTTTTATTTGGAATATAGATGGAGCTGAAAATCCTACTTATTCTCTCATTTTAAATGGTCAAGCTGACATTTAATTTTTAAAAATACTGTATTAGTAGCTGCAACATAGATTTCAAAATTTGCACATATGCTCTACACATCATAAATTATGTTTATAGAATGAAATTAATTTGCTGAAATATATATAGCAATTCTACTATAAAATTTAAATGTATATATATTATATGTATACATACACAAAGCACACACACACAACCATATATACAACTCTTACTTATAATTATTGTTTAGGAGAATTTAAAGATGAATTCATTTTTATGATAAAATAGATCTATATAATGAATTTATATGAATTTAACTTTTTTTAATTCTTTTAAACAGATCTATTTTTAGTTTGTCTTAGGCTAACATTGCAACTCTACTAAACAATTTTATCTTTTAATTAAATGTACTTAAAATAAAATGAAGACTTATCATTATTGAATTGTGGTGTAGATTTTAAAGAGGATTATTTTAAATAAAGAAAAGCACTATGAGTGCCTAGTTTTTAAAAGTTGGATTTCTCTCAATTTTTTTTTTTTTAGTTTTAGTATGTGATGCTTTGATGCTTAATTTTAAATTCATTTTCAGTGTATCATTTTTTTGTATTTTATTTCTTTCTTCACTATATTGATTTACTCATAGGAATTTTCAAGTCTGAGAAGGCTACTTGCAGAATTTGGAATTCCTTTTGGGTTGAATGTTTAATTATTTACATGAAAAAGTTACTTCTCTGGTAAAGAGTGGGTCATTTACCGTTAAGTACTAGATTCACAGGCCTAGGAAACTTTCCCAGGGATTCTCTAAGCCTTGTTGGTTGTCATCATAAAATTATGATCAGGGAGATTGTTTTATGGTAAAAATCCTGTTCCTATGAAAAAGTCTTTCAAAGGCTATCATTTGATGATGGAAATGAAGCCCACTTCCTCTCAATTAAGGAGGTGTTTTATTTTAATCTTCCCAAGACACACTGCTGAGCAGAGTTTCCTTTTTAAATCATGTTTAACTAATTATAGTACGTGTTTTATTTGCCAGCACGAGATTATCCATGGACTCTCAAAAACAGACGCCCAGAAAAACTTCGAGACTCACTCAAGGAGTTGGAGGTATCTTTCCAAAAGTTTAAAAAACGGCAACAAACAAATCTGTTTTAAAACATCTTTCAACAGCTTTAATTTTCATAAAGGATCCACTCTCATGGTGATGATAGCTTTGCTTTTGTCCGGTGAGGAGTTCCAAAACAGTTGCATCTTTGTGTGGCATGCTGATCTTTTTTTTTTTTTTTGCTTGCCAATCAGAAGCACTTTAACTGATAACGACAATGTGTATAGCCAACTGCACTCTCTCTTTTTCTGTTTCCTTCAGGAGCTGATGCAAAACAGTCAGTGTGTGCTGAGCAAATGGAAGAACAAATATGTCTGTCAGGTAAAATGGTTTGACATGCTTTTGCAATGTTTAACCAATGGAGCTGAAAACTATGCAGTAATTGGTATTCTTGTGTTATGATAGGTAATGAACAAAAACTTTTTAAGAGTGGATATTTCATAGCTTGAATTCTAGTCATTCTAGAACTAACATTGGACAGATTGACACAGGCCACCAAGGTACCTCATTAATCAGTGTAGTTGTACTGACATACTATAAACAGTAATAAAAATCTTTTCAGATGATACTGTTTGGATTTGTCTGAATGTTGTATTAGATATTTACTGGCATAGATTTAATCATATTTTTGAATGAAGATAAAAACCATAGGACAAAAGTTTTTTTGGCATACCACTCTAGTAAGCATCTGTGAATACTATACTTATGGAAACGAACAAACAGACTAGAGTTAGACCTAACATAACAAAACATTTGCTGCTACTTTTTGAACCCTCTAAGTTGTACTGTTTAATACGATAGCCACTAGTCACTCGTGGCTATTTAAATATAAATTAAACTAATTAAAATTAAATAAAATTAAAAATTCAGTTCCTCAGTTGCACTACCCACATTTCAAGTGCTCAATAGCCACATGTTGTTATATGGACAAGATAGATACAAAACATTTCCATCACAGAAAGTTCTATTGGGCAACACTATTAGAGTCTAGACAAGGTGAACTAAATGTTGAATGAGTCTAGAGTCAAAACACAATCAGGACATAATAATTAGTGTCCACTGATCACAGAATAATGCACAAAAACCTCAGCTTTGTTGATAGGCTTAAAAAATACAATTTGCATAGAAAAATTTTACTTGCTTGAGATAAAAGGAATCATTAGTCATATTCTATTCATATGTGTAATTGAAGTTATATCAGTACTACTAACAATTATAACTGTTTTATAGAATTAAATATCCTATATCAATGTAAATTCTTACTTGTTTACAATGTAATTTATTTTAGATCTGATTATTCTTGTTTGAAGTTTAGGCACATGGCTCTATCCATAAATCTACAACATCAGATCTGTAGCAATTACAAACATATCTTAATCTACTATTTGAATATAAACTATCATTTTAGTGGATTCTAGTTTTTCCTCATTTTTTATTTAAACTAGTCTACACTTACTTATAAAGGTAACCATTTAGTACCTCCTCAACTAGCATAACTTTTTTTTTTTTTTTTTTGTGAGGAGGACCAGCCCTGAGCTAACATCCAATGCCAATCCTCCTCTTTTTTTGCTGAGGAAGACTGGCCCTGGGCTAACATCCATGCCCATCTTCCTCTACTTTATATGGGACGCCGCCACAGCATGGCTCAACAAGCGGTGCGTCGGTGCGCACCCGGGATCTGAACCGGCGAACCCCGGGCCGCCGCAGCGGAACGTGCGCACTTAACTGCTTGCGCCACCGGGCTGGCCCCAACTAGCATAACTTTTTACTTTCCAGAGACTATTTACAAGACTAAATTAATATTTTTAGAACCGTAATACTTCTTAAATTCCACTTAGTATGATACTATTCAAAAGGACGGGATTATTTAAAAATTCATAATTTGTTTTCATAAAAGTTTTAATCATACTTTAAAATCTGAATACAAAATATGTTCCAGAAAGTTTTAAACTTAGTATAACTCAAATTGTACTTCTTAATGCCATTACTCACCTTAAAAGCAGGCTCAAAATTATTTGACTGGAGGGCAAACCTACCACCTAGCCTTACACACCTAGTAAAGGGAGTGTCTCATGGCCTCCACCCTTACCATCACACAGGGTAAGTTGGAACATGTCAGGCATCTTAAAATATGCAGTGGAGCATCCCAATAGGCACTCTTTTTAAGATAGACTTTACTGCATTTTATTAAGCAGGTTTGTGTGTATGTGTGTGGGGTGGAATATGGAGAGGAATGTCCCTCACTACTGAATTAAGTCAACTCAGAAAAGGAATTTTCATGATAGAATATATACAAAATTACTTTGGTATTTTACAGCAACCTGACAATACTGTCTTCTTAGGCTGTTGTACCAATGAATAAACTTCTAACATTTCCAATGGAACTTATCTTTGTGTTCAGTCATATTTTGTGCTTTATTTCTATGATTGACGAGATATTCCTAAAATAGACCTTTTACTACCAGCACATTCTTGGTGTGATATATTTTAATAAAATAACTTGACCTCCACCCTGCCCACAGGTCCAGGTTAGTCCTCGCATCTATAGGACCTTTGGGAGACTTCCCACAGTTATCCATCCACTTCCTCAGTTTCTAGACAGGTCTGTTAGCTAGGTCTTCTAAAAGTGTGTGTGTGTGTGTTAATCCTAAAGATCTCTAATATTGCAGTAAATTAAGAATTTGATGCTCAACCTAAATTCTTAGAAAGATCCCTTTAGCCCTTTGTTAGATGCAAAATAAATAAACCACCTCCACAAGCTCTCCTAGGGTCCCCTTTTGTTCTTCCATCCAGTGTGGTGGCTCCAAAGATAACACGTACTTAAATTTCTATTCGTAAATTTCCCCATATATTTAGCCCTAAAATGGCAGCAGTTGACCACAACATAATGTTCTCTAACTCTTAGAAAAGGAGTGAAAAAAGTTTCTCAGTATCTTGGTGCTAGCATAGTTGAAATTTCAGTCTTTGACTGTGGCCACTCCTTGCCTAATGTAAATCTTTTACTCCCTCCCCAATCCCCCAATGGCAAATTTAGGATTTATGGAATTTATCTTTTTTGTCTTCTTTTTAAGGGGTCTTTATTTCTCTAAAAGGTCCAATTGTTTAGAAATTAGCTAGGCAACTACAATAAGAAGAAAGATTTCAGAGGATGCAATCTGAGCTTGGATTTTTCCTTCTGTTGAATAATGAGGTTATATAGGTTATCATTACCAAAGCTTACTTTATGTTGTTGATCCAATGACCTATAAATTGTACCATTTAAAAAATAATTCCCTCCACTTAGAAATTAAGAACAGTTTATAAATCAAAACTTACCCATATATATGTTCTGGATGAACATTGTCTTTTGAAGTTGGTTTTTCAGACTATGCCTATTCCTAGTTTGAAATGCATTAAAAGTGTGAGATGTGATTTACAGCTTCAGTTTTGCTAGCTATCAAGTACATTTCTCATTGTTTTTTTTTTTGGTCTCCTAAAATCATTCCATTATGAGAAAATATTTAATAATTTCCTGCCTTGAATTTTTTAAGCCATCTTACAAACTATTCTTAGGAAATAATAGTTTCAGCATTAAGACACTACTAAATTGTATGCCTCTATGGTGGAATTTTTTAATTCCTTAAATTATTTTGCTATAAGTCACATTCATATTTGCAGATTATTGCATAATTACTTAAAAGCAATATTATCATTAAGATAGATGTAACTTCACATATGTTGATTTTAGATTAAATTATTTGAATCATATATGTACATTCAACTATAAAAGTATATGAAATAGTAGTCAGCTATACCCTGATTTCTTTCTATAACAATTCTACATTTCCAGGTACAATTTTAGAATTCCAAGAAAAGGTAGTTTCCTTTTTAAGTTCTTGTAGTGAATCACTTGACAAACTTTATAAAAACAGAAATTATTTTCCAAGCCTATCACAGATAAATTGTGACCTTATGGAACTCATTTTATCACAACTTCCTCAATTGTAGAATGGATAGCATCACCACCTGACTTTCCTTTCTTCAAATTGTGTGAAAATCAATTTGATTTCCTCATAAAATATTAATTGACAAACCACAGTTTTAAGTTAAAACTATTAGTAATAGCATATTATTTATACAAAACCTATCACACAGTATTTATTGACTGTCACCATTGTGGGAGCCACTAAGGAAGTGTAAGGTATGGGCTGAGTCCCCACCATAACCTAGTCAAGGAAAATAGACACATGAAATCACTAGGACACTAATGAATGCTAAATTGTATGACACCAAGTAAAAAGATAGTAAGAGTTTAGAGAAAGTATAGAAATCAATGTAATCTGAAATAGGCAAGAAAAGTTTTGTAGAGAAGTTCTAACTTTACTTAGACCTGAAAGGACATGTAAAATTTGGTTACGCTGAAAGGAGAGGCATTCCAGAAAAAGGGAATTAGATTAACTGAGGTATTCAAGAGAGAATTCAGTGGGGTGTCTACATGGTAGTGAGGAGATGGGCCCATTTGGAACAAATAGTTCATGTTGAAGAACAAAGTGATAAGTTTGAAAGGCAACTTGGAGTTTCATTCTCAGGGACTTTGAATGTTACACTAAGGTATTGATACTTTGTTCTATATCTTGTATAAACACTTTCATATAAGGAGAGTGCCATATTGAAAGTAGACTTATGAAAGATTAGCCTGGCAGTGGGATGTAGGATAAAACATGAAAATCAGAGGCATTTGTATAAAGAACAAATGAGATGGGATAATTATTTTCTGAAAACACCAAGCTAGAGGATTTCTGGACTTGAAGATGCTAGGCACAATACAGATTAGAAGTGAGGTGGCTAGATTGAAACTAAGGGGATTAAGTGAGGGTCTGTATCTGGAATGGTGAGATCTTCCCCAACTCCTTTCCCCCTCTAGCAGCGAGGCTTATGTCTCTATGTAACTTATTTAGAGGACTCGTCTCTGAAAAATAGATTATTCTTCCAGAGCAAAGCCTACAGATAGTGATATTGTAGTTCCCTTTGAAAAGATAGATGTGCCAACCAAGCTCCTTACAGTGAAGCCCAAGTTAAGCCTGCTGACACCCACCAACCTTCCAATCAATTTTTTAGAGACTCACGTGTAAATATAACCAGAGAACCAGAGTTCACGATACTTTTGAGGAAATTCTCCATCTGTAAATCTGAGATCTATGAGTCTGAAGCTAAAACAAACAGAAAAAAAAAAGAATCAGAGACAATGTAATACACAAAACTAAATCCAGAGAATTAAAATTAATCCCCACAGAGAAATAAGAGGAGCTTTTGCATCCTTGGAGCAAGAATAGGATGCTATT